TAAAAAAAAAAAAAAAAAAAAAAAAAAAAAAAAAACAGCAATTTAACTGAGGAGAGTAATAACCTTTGGGTTGGAAAAGCAGCTTTCCCTCTGTAACCAGCTTTCAGTGTGTTGCTGTTTTCTGCAGGGCCTCTCATGATCCCCTGGGCTTCCTCACTCCTCAGTGCCAAGCGTCACTGAGCTTGCACCTGATCTCCTTCAGGCTGTGACCCAAGTCTCTGGAGGCACTCCAGAGACTCGAACCAGGGGTCTAAGAGAGTCCTTGGACAGAAATGCGCCAAAAAATTAGCCCAGGGCCCTTGGTCTCTTTTTGCACACTTCCATTTAGGACTTCAGCTTTGCAAGAAATTGTTTCCTGTCTTCTCCAAATTCTAAGCACGATGGCCTTGAAACCCCAAAGCTGGAGACCTAAATATTCTCTATTCTCTCTTTCTCCAAGGAAAATCCATACCCAGGCTGAAGATAAAGAGTTTTTTTTCGATAAAGATGTTTCTTAAAGGTAATTTCCAGCACAGCATGCTCTGTGGCAGTGAGACCAACTTTAAACACTAAAATGTGTGTGTGTGCGGCCTTTCTGCTGGAATTTCTCTTCTCCTGGAGGTCCCTGGGACGTAGAACTGAGGGTGGATAGTGGCAGGATAATTAATTTCCTAAAAGGTGTTGGTCACCAAATCTTAGACCACAGGACCTCAGACAGCTAAGGGAAAGGAAGTCATTAAGTACTCATGACTTAATCTATCAATTCAGTGCTGATTACACACCCAGCCCTTCCTCTCACTAGGATTTCAGGCCCGAACTTGTATATGTCTGCAGGAGTTTTATGACCTTATGTCTGTTTTGTTTTAATTTATTTTTTTGAGACAGAGTCTCGTTCTGTCACCCAGGCTGGAGTGCAGTGGCGCAATCTTAGCTCACTGCAACCTCCGCCTCCCGGGTTCAAGCAATTCTCCTACCTCAGCCTCCCGAGTAGCTGGGATTACAGGCACGTGCCATCATGTCCAGCTAATTTTTGTATTTTTAGTAGAGATGGGGTTTCTCCATGTTGGCCAGACTGGTGTTGAACTCCTGACCTCAGGTTAGCCACCCTCCTCAGCCTTCCAAAGTGTTGGGATTATAGGCGTGAGCCACCACGCCCGGCCTTGTGTCTATTTTACATCTGTCCATACTTGATTGTGTGTGAACTGGCCTGCTATGTACAATCTATTTCTTACTATAGGAATAAATCTGAAGAACACTGGCTTAGAGGACAGAACTTTGTCCTTGGCTGTATTGTCATTTCAGGGTTGAGATCCAAAATGGACTTACTTCCAAACTGCCCCCTGTCCCTTTATCCCTTACATACAGTTTGTCAACAGGTCCTTGCATTTTCTCTGTTGAAATATCTCTCGGGCTGGGCATGGTGGCTCATGTCTGTAATCTCAGCACTTTGGGAAGCCACGGTGGGCGGATCACCTGAGGTCAGGAGTTCTAGACCACCCTGACCAACATAGTGAAACCCCATCTCTACTAAAAATACAAATATTAGCTGGATGTGATGGTGGGCGCCTGTAATCTCAGCTACTCAGGGGAGGCTGAGGTAGGAGAATCGCTTGAACCCGGAAGGTGGAGGTTGCATTGAGTTGAGATTGTAACACTGTACTCTAGCTGCCTGGGAGATAGAGCGAGAATCCTCTCAAAAAAAAACAAGGGGGAGAAATACCTCTCAGAAGTGCCTCTTCCCATGTTTACAGTCTCAACCTGTCTCTTGAAGCCTAGATGACCACTGAAGCTAGTCCTTGCTGATCTCCACCTCTAGCCCCTTACCTGCCCCAAATCCACCCTCCCTGCCGCTGTCATTTGAATCTTCCCCAAATGCAGTGTTCTTTCTCAGTCAGGGATATTTAGCCAGGACTAAAGAAG